CTTGATGGGATAAAATGCGCATGAATGTGCGTTAATGCGCATGATTCCGCAATCATGCGCATGCTTGAAACCCATCTCTAATTATGACAAATAAAAACCTGAAATAGTGACCTTGGGTAAAAAATAAATAAAAAAAATCGCTACTTAAAATTTTCATTTGTCATTTTTTTTTTCCGTTTTTTTAATACTTACTTGTGCGTGATGAGAATCTATTGAAGTTTTAGCTTCGCCGGCCTCTAGAAACAACCATTTTCTTACGGTAACGTCATACCATTCTTTCTACTTTCCTAATATTATCATTAACTCGGTATTATAGTAGTGAGGACCGTTGTCTGAAATAATAGTAATCCATTTTGGTACGCGATCTAGACTTTCAATTACAGCATTAAGTGAGGACGCGGTAAACCAAGCATCTTGCTTGGTATCATTGCTCCAGTGATCAAATGCTTGAACATCAAGGCTACTAGTTTTTGCATTTTTGGTGTATATAAGAACAGAGTGGAGTGTCCACCCGCGTTTTCCAAAGAACTCAGATTTCGTTTCTCGAGCACTCTGCGAGAGGATCCTCATCTTGTAGTCTACAATGAGCAAAGCACCATTCACATCAAGTTGAGCAAGTTCAACATCCAATTGGGCATTGAGATACGTTTTACGTGCATGGTGAGCCATAAAATAGATTAGTTGATTTTGATACTCTATTAAAGATTCGTGAAATTCACTATCAACATTCGCCGTTAAATTACTAAACAAGGTAAACAACTCGTTGCAATTTTTACAAATTTCAGGATGATCCAAATTGCAATTATCAAAAGCTTGTTGGAGACAATGGCTTATGCATGGCGAATGTAGAGCAACTCCCATTGGTGATACTTTTAAATTTGTGGCAAAATCTTTACGCAGATATCGTCGCAAATTTTGAGCTATTTCGTGCATCATTTCCTTTTTTTTTTTTTTTACAAATCAAAAAATTTAGTTTCAATTGTTGTTATTAAAACCCGAAGTACAAACTTACCTTCAACCCATTATTTTTGATTTGAGTATTTATAAGAGATTCGATGTTCTCAAAAACCTCATAACCAAGCTCGTTGCATGTAGTACAAAGACCACCAAGATTTTCCTTATACACGAATCTACTTCCTTCCAATCGAGTCATAAAGGTTGTGCGTTGCATACTATTAGGATATTTCTCATGAAACTTATTCTACAAAGCTTTCTTATGATCCTGAAGATATAATATAGGTAAGCCTGTAGAGTTATCTGTTTTATATGATGACATATTAACATTTTCTTTGGTTGTAAAAAATAAATCAAACTGATTTAATTGCTCGGTCGTTAGCTTAGTGCGGTGAATCATTGGTTTAGTTAAAGCCGGTGTACCATATCCGTTTATTTTGGCATGTTTTCGCGATTCCGAAATTATATGGTCTCCAACCTATTAATATTAGTCAAAAATTGTGTAATAATATTGCAGAAAGTTGTAAAAAAAATTATAGTACTATTTCCCAAAAGCCATTTTCCCGAAAGAACATAATATCGATTAAATCGGCCAGCATGATAACTAATGCCAGCTAACTTTGTCAGTATCATGTTCTTTTTGGAAAATGGCTTTCAGAAATCGTACCATAACCTGTAAAAAAAAATATATATATATTCCTTACACCTAAATTTGTCTTTAAATCCGAATAACTAAAATCGTTGGCAATTATTGATAAAACTCGTCTTTTGCCATCCCTTGTTTTTTTGTTATCCATTAGTGCTTGATTGAAACATTGCCAAAAAATACGAGTTTTATTAGGGATATGACTTGGTGAGCTATTTAAAAACCCTAAACTATACAATTGTTGAAGCATAGCACGATCATTTTCTGGTTGTGTATTTTTCGTCCATAATTGATACTAAATAATAAAATAAACTTAGTGTTAATTTTCGTTTTACTTGAAGGATTTTAAATCTTGCCTGTGATTCCTCAGGTGTCCATGGTGTTACATTATGACAACCACATGCACGGAGCATTGCATGCCAAGCACCTATTTCGCGATCGCTAAATTGGTAATCCGGGGGGTAGAGGCTTTCAAGACTCGAATAAAGCTCAATAATATTGTTTTGATCTTTATGCCAATTAAGAAATAAGGTGTGCCAATTTATATCAGCAAGAGTTCTTCTTTTTAAGTGATAGTCAAAAAAAAACTTCATAAGAGCATAATCGGGCCAATTATTTGGCAAACAGGAAAGAACATGATATTGGCGAATGAATGATTGCACTTCAGGGTTTTCGAGCCCAAAAAGTTGAATTCCAGTATACTTCTGAATATTTAGCCTTTGCCACACTTCATTTGGAGATGAACCTTCGATCCGGTCTTTAATATTAAAATCCTTATAAATCTCGAGAGCACAAAAATTATCCTCTATTTTCGAAACATATAATACGTGTTTTCCATTTGTAGTTCGTAAAAGAGACGACTTATAGCCCGGTCCAGCATAATTCCATTCAGAGTTTGAAGATGAACCAATTCCAAAAATAAAAATTTTATATTCACCAAGTGAAAAGGATATAGAAATGAATGGTATGTTTAATAAGAGCTATTTGATTATCGATTCATTTGTCCATCCAAGTACCAAAAATCCAAAATAGCGCGTTTGATTATTGAAAATCTCCTTATATACCGTTGAAATTGCTGATGTCAGATCCAATTTTATGCTGAAAAAAGAACCACTTTCACAATAATAGCTAGCCAAAAAAGAACTTTCAGAGTAGTTAATAATAACTATTATAAAAAATTCACGTTCTTTTAAAATTATTTTAGTCTTTTGACCAATTCGAATAGGAAAATATACTTTCTTTTTTTTATTAGTACTAGAAAGTCGCCACCAATTCGTGAGTAAGCACCATAATGGAGATTGTTGTCTAATAACCCGTTCTCTATTAACATAACAGTAAGATTTGCCATTTTTCTGATCTCTAAAACTGAACTTTGCAGATTTGCGGTATATTATAAAATTACTATTATACTTATCCCTAGATTCTACATATACTTAC